GTACTTGGGAGTTTTCTTATTGCTCTTAAAGCCAGTTTCGCAATCACTTCGTAAATTTCTTGGGGGTAGCCTGTTTGTGAATCTACTGTGGCAAAATCCCCTTCTCCTGTTAAGTGATTGCATGTTATGTCTGCTTGTGGATTATTTGCATATACTGCACAATTCTCCCTAAAATCTATCAACCAAGTGCTGTACTGTGTATTTGTTAGAACCGGTTTCAGCAAAGTTTTCCAATCATGTGGGGTAAAGACGTAAATTGAACTCAACGTCTCCAAATATGCAAACGTATTAGTTGAGGAAACACCAATTTCTCTTACTAACTGCCTCAGTTCCTTTGTCACCTCATGAGGCAAAGGTTGAAACTGAGGGGCCTGGCGCTGGCAGAATATGACTGGACATGCATGAATCACTTGCCAGTCTCCCACCCACATCACTTCCTTGTGGCATCTTCCCCACCGGTCGACCGATCTCCCCGCACCGCCCTCTCTCTCTCTCTCAGGGGGCCACCTCCAGTCCCTCCTCATCCTCTAATGCCTCTCCACCCGTGGCCCTGGTATATTCAGTTCCCTGTAGCTGCATGGTAGAGGATGACTGACACGGAGGGAAGGGACGTTTCCCCTCCCCATGCCCACAGTTGGAATGAGCTGGCTGCGCAATCAGAAGAGACAGGTCAGGTTCTGGTCTGTTTCGCGCACGAGATGTCTGCGCCCGTGCCAGAGCACGAGGTCGCTGTTCATCTGCAGTGTGAGGAGGTGAATTTGCTGGGTTCCCTCCCCCATTGCTTGCAACGGGGCCCTGCACCTCGCTCCTGTGGGCTGGATTCTCGAGCTAAGGTTCCTGTTCCTTTCCCGCTATCTGTGCTCCTGCTAAGACCAGAATCTAACCCGACCCTTAAACCATGAACACCCCCCGCCTGCCCATGCAGATCCTCCCCTGAATTTAAATCTATTCAGGTTGTGCATGGTGTATTCCCCCCACTTTGTGTGTGTCTACGTTGTGGACTTGGGCTGCGGTTAACAGCCTGACTGGGGGATTGTATATTGGTGTGGGTTGGGTGTTCTGTTTGTCTTTGTGCTCTGCGTAAGGCATCCATAATAATGGACCATGCAGGGATGCTGTTATTAGCTTGGGCGTCACTTGCTCTGGCCTTATCTCTCACGAGCTTTCCCAGTTTATCTCAAATTTCTGTATTTAGAGCTTCCACCAATGGCAGTTTTGGTGCTACGCATTTTATCCATTGCATAGATTCTGTTAACTCTGCGTGTGTGGATTGTACTTGATATGATCTTAACAAGAGGCACAGAGCCTCTGTGTCCTTGTCTACTTCTGCAGAGAGACTTTTTCCCACGTTGGCTTTACCTTACCTAGCCACTTTCAGGTCCCACATGTGTGCTGGCTTTGTTCGCGGCTTCTGAGATTTACTTTTGATTTCGGCTTGGGCTGCAGCTTTTCACGTTCCTCGGCTGCTCCAGTGTCTCGTTGGGGCGATGATGGCGACTCCTTGCTGTCTTCGCAGATGGCAGCGCCGGCTGCTGCAGTGGTGGCTCCAGCAGCGGCGATTCCTGCTCCCTCTGTGGCGGCAGTTCGCGGCAGATCCCATGGAGCCCTCTATCCATCTTCTCTCGTCTTTTTTCTCCTGGAACAGTGCACTTCCTATCTTTTTTGAGCTCGGTTTAATCTTGCATCTCTCAGGTGCTTGCTGAGATCGGACGCTTTTAAGACGTCTCTAGGCTTTTTTTCAGTAAAAGTGTCCCAAGTTTTAAAACAAACTTGTTCTGGACACTACCGAGTTGCCTTGCTACAAGGCTTTTAAAACTATATCCTAATGTAGGTTGTGCCCCATGCCAAGGGCACCATCTGTGATATAGTAATATAATATAAAGGGATAAGACTCAGCAGCTCAATTGGCAAGCACCAAATCTGTTTATTTAAAGGAAAACATCCCTTTATATACCCTCTGGGGGGGGCATGTGACCCACCAGGCCAATGACAGCAGGACACACACTGCCCATGTGCCAGTATGCTGTCCAGGGACTTCAAGACTCAGAATGCACCCCTTGCATCCCTGGGACATGTCCCTACAGAGCAGGTCACTAGGTGCTGCTTCCTGGTTTACAGGTAATTTTTTCTGTTCCCCGTCCTTGTCTACCAGCTGAGGGGACTGGTTGCCCTGAGGATCATTGGTCTTTCTGTTAAAGACTGAGGCAAAGAAGGCGTTAAATACCTCAGCCTTGTCTTCATCCTTCACGACAATGTTCTCCTGGATGTCCAATAAAGGATGGAGATTTTTCCTTGTCCTTCTTTATGTAGTTAATGTATTTATAAAAATTTTTTTGTTATCTTTCACAGCAGTGGCCTGATAGAGTTTTAGCGGAACTTTCTCCTTTCTAATTTTCTCTCTGCATGACCTCCTAACATTCTTGTACTCTTCCTGAGTTGTCTGCCCCTTCTTCCGAAAGTCAAAAACTCTCTTTTTATCCCTGAGTTCCAGCAAAATCTACCCATTCAGTCAGGCTGGTCTTTTTCCCTGCTGGCTTGTCTTTCAGCACATAGGGACAGTCTGCTTCTGTGCCTTTTAAGATTTCTTTCTTAAAATGTGTCCAGGCTCCCTGGTCCCCTTTGTTGCTATGGCCTGTTTCCCAAGGTACTCTCTGAGCTAGTGTCCTGAACAGGCCCAGGTCTGCCCCCTGAAAGTCCAAGGCAGAGGTTTTGTTGACCCTCTTTCTTACTTCAGCAACAATCAAAAACTATCATTTCATGGTCTCTATGCCCAAGATAGCCTCTGACCATAAACAGCTAAAGCACATAAAATTTTTTCCTACATGTCACACCTCATTGTTTAACTTTGTGCAGGATTTCAAATACAGAAGTAAAAAGCAGGATCTAACCACGCTGACATTCCACTAAGCCGGAGAAGAATATATTTTGAATTTTATGAGTAAAAACTGAATTACTATCCTAACTGATGAAAAATGTTGCCTTGCCCTAAATAAGCTATGAACTGAAAGAAATAAAATTTGTCACATTTTAAAGTATGGAATAAATCTTTATGACCTATGAGCAGGACTGGTAGTTTTATTAGTTGTGCAAGCAGTCTATCTTCTCTTGACAAGATAACAAAAGTGCCCAAACATGATTCTAACACTGCTGGTTAGATATAGTCATAAATTTGTGAAGCAGCTTTAATACTTCGCATTTCAACAGGGCCTGTTATCTAAGGCAGAAGACTTACAAATATTAATTGGGCTTTAAAATGTTCTTGTGAAGTAAATGTAATAAATACAGTGATGTTAAGTTTAGACAAAAGATTATCTAAAATGTTAAGCAACTTGCCAGTACAGTAACCCAGTGCCTGACCTAGGAATGCAGCACTCCAGTAAATGCTCTAACCCTTAAGCTGCACTGGATTACAGTTCACTGAAACTGCAAATGAACTTAGAGCAGTCCTAATACATATGGAAAATATGCCCTAATGTTTTCTGTCAGAAAATTGCAAGGCAGCAAATCAGTCACACTGGAACTTAGTAGAAAATTTGATGCTAGAGCAGTTGGATTCAATAACGCAACTAATTATACTTGATGTGGCATTTTATGAGAGGGTTCTCCAGCACAGGCAGAAATGGCATGGTTGTTTTGAAAGTAGGACAATCCCACCTTGGGAAAGTCAGTTGAGTATTCAGGCTTGACTTTGAAGCCTTTGATGAGAGAATCACGTCAAGTCTAATCTCTGAGTGACAGGTTCATAAATGCACACACCGCAGTTGATACGCTAATGGCCACATTCTGCTCTGTTGATTTTCTTTGCCCTGCTTATTCAATTTCTTTAGAGACATCCAGGGATGAAAGAGAAAAATGTTGTAAAGACTAAAAAGAGGTCTGCAAACTCTCTTGTTATCAAGCAAGGTACTAGAAATGTACAGCAGCTCATGTAACTTAAAGAGGCCATGTAGCATGAAAGAATACCACCCTTTTACATGAAAACCTGTCAATGTCCACAGGAGGTAAATATAGATTACTGAAGATACAAGGTCACTGAGAACTGCAGGCTTCTGTCTTTGCTCACTTTGCTAGTCACATCTGTGGAAATCATTTGCTACCAATTTTGACTCTCTCTCCTACTTTATGTCGTGATGTTACTTATAAGCAGAAGAACAACTGGCTTCACTTCTTACTAGGGAACTCTTCCAGAGCAGGATGAAAGAAGTCTTCAGCAATTGCAAACTGATGGTGAAAACAAGGGTTGCTGTGAGGTTATATCTCTTACTGACACCTACCACAGCAGCACTGGAACTAGGGGAAGCTGGGACAAAACTCAGGTTAGCCTATGAACTGTGTTAATGCAAAGCAATGCTTTTGACTGGCCCTCTTTGAGCGAAGGCAACCGACTTTCTGTGCATCCAGCAGGATAGAAAACTCTCTCTGTAGTCATTAACAACAGCTGGTACAGAAGATTACCAAATTAATAATACAAAATGTTTGAAATCTTTGTTTATGCTCATTTCAAATAAACAAAGTAATTTCATAATGATAATTTCATTTAAGGTCCCACTGGAAAATCATATCTCTTTAAAATCTCCGAGTTTAATTCTTGGTATATATTTTTCTTTACAAAAGATAAAGTAAAAAATTTAATCTTGCATTCGTAGGTGAGATATTTTTGCCAGTTTTATAGACATAAAAATATTAATCTTTACAATGATGATTAAAACCAGAAGGTTCATTAGAGCCTGGGCTGTCTGGTCTGCTCTATAGCTCTTGTAGCCATAAAACTGAGTTTTCTCATTTTCAAATGTCCTCTCTTGTGTCAAAATCTTAACTACATTAATTCAGGGACATGCCATGATGTTGAAAAGGGCACTCTCTGGTGGCCTGTGGTGAGTGACCTTCCAGCTTATTATGTCTGAATGTCCTTTGCCCTTTGCCCACTTAGAGCCTACGCAGTCTTTCCTCAGTGGGATTCTATCCTGATTTGGCATAAAGAGGCATTCAAAGAATGAACAAGAAAGTTTGTGCACTTGGAGAGTAAAAAGTAAGACAATAGGTAGGAATCCACTTTGTTCTCTATGCTTCTCTTCTCTGTCCCTCTCCTCTCGTGCTGAAGCATAAAAGGGACCAAAAGTCTCCCAGGAGAGCCACTGCTCTCCCATATGACCTCGGTGGGAACTGAAAATACAGCTCACAGCTGATAATGATTTGGAAGCTGTGTCCTTTTATAAGAAGATGCACTGTTCCTCCTCAGCCTTTCCTCCAGTTTGGATGTATCTGTTAACTGATCAAGGGAGCACTCTTCTTTGATCTGGATGTCTAAAAAACCTTTCCCTTAATCTACTTAATCTACTACCGCGTGACTCTGAAGTTGCAGTCTGTCCTTTTTTACATGCTGTTGTGCCCACAAATGCTTATCAAATATTTGCTGTTTGCTGTCTATTGTAACTGTCCCCCAAAGCACCATCTGGCAAATATATTCAATTATAAATCTAGATCATTATTACAGCACTATGCAATTATCTTCAACTGACTGGATCAGATCAGTAGATAAGTTGTGATGAGTTTTATATGTATTTTATGTTGGACAACTCTATGCTTTGGATTCTGGTTGCAAAGACTCCAGACACAGCCGGGAAAAAGTTGCATATCGATTAGTCAATATTTGTGTGAACCCTTTGTGTCATTTCATCCACCTATTCAGTTGATTACATGCATGGTGTGATCCTAACGATGTGTAAGGTACTCTGTCCTTCAAGGTAGACTGTCCTTATACGCACTCTATATGTCTTGATGATCTGCCTTCAGATCTATCTTGCTAGCAAAACATTTGGTCCCTTTCTTTGTGCTCTTGGGAAGTCAACTGCATAATAAACAGCTTGTGTTGCTTGATGCTCCTGCCCTCTCAGTGAGCTCGATGCCTCAGTCAAGTGACATTTAATTTGCAATCAGTGTGGAACTATGAGCGCTGGACACAGGTCACCAGACACTTTTATTCTGTCCTTAGGCTGTCTTTGGTTCCTAAGTCAATAGATACTGGGAGTGCAGTGAAACTCACATGTGTCCTGTACAGGACCTTGGAGACCTAAGGAATGGGTCATCCTAATAGACTTTGAAGATCCTTGTAAGCATTGTAAGGTAGTGTGTGATGGTGTTAAAAGCTGTTTTGTGCATGGGGTATAAGAAAACAAAATAGCTCTGGTTATCCAAAGCAATTAATTAGTCTTTGAGCTGATACAACTGAAAGCGTATTGTAATTTAGCATAGTTGCTTAATAGTAATACATTAATACAGTAAGTTATTAACAAAAGCAAGACACTTTCTGCCGCAAACTCCTTTGTTCAGGCAGGTACTTTATTGTTGCAGTGCAGTTCATAAACTAAAATAATACAACTTCCTCCTATGTAGTAAGAACAGAAATTACATAATCAGCAAAGAAGAAAAAAAAATGACATGCAGGCACAGATGCACACAGACCTTTGCAGTTGAAAAGTAACAAAGATAGACAGAACCCTGAAATAAAGAAAGCAAGAAATAGCTGTCACAAGGAAAGTACCTTTTAGTAGTATATACTTGTTTTATAGGAGACTTGGCTAGGAAACAGAAAGACAGAAATCTTAAATCCTGCTGTGTAGCTGACTCTATGTTTGTAGACTTCCAAGGCCTAATTACAAATCCTACAGTGGTTTTAATGCATTATGTTATCAGAGAATGTGCAGCAATAACTTGGAAAATATAAGAATAGAGAGGTTTCAAGGGGTAATTTCTCTCACAAAAGGCAAGATAATGGATTTGCTTACAAAATATGTGATGTGAAATTTGTTTCAATTGGTCACTGTTTCACTCTTGTGCTATGTTTTTCTAATGGAAGTGAGAAACACATCTAACACTGTCCTATAGAACTGTGTCCTGGATCCGACCAGGACAGGGTTAATTTTTGCAGCACCCGGGAGGGGGCATGGCTGTGACCTGGAGGTTATTCTACACCACCTCAGGTAATTTTCTGGGAATGTGGGAAGGGCTCTCTTCCCTGTCGGGGTAAAGCAGTGATTGGGTATTGTTGGGCTCTGCCTGGTATCAGTGGTGAGAATTTGCACATGAATTGCTCACCTCTCTTGTACACTTTTGCTATTAATATTGTTGCTGTTACTGTTTATTTTCTTATCTCATTGCTGTTTCCAGTATAGTGTTCCTATCTAAAACTGTGGTCTTTACCTTTTGTGCCTTCAGTTCTCCTTTCCAGCCTGCCACAGAGGTGGGGAAGGGGTGAGGGAAGAGAATGACTGTTGGATGGGTTGGAGTGGTTTCAGTGGGAACACTAAATTCAAGAATACCATTCCTAAACCACAATAAACTATTAATAAGAATGGGTACAAGAGTGCCTAGTTTTCAGAATTTCACTAGACTTATAATTAAACCACCAGTGAGACTAAAAAATAAGAGAAATAAGACTATTACATTGTGCCATGGGAAATTTTAGCAGTATGACAGGGTAGTTGACGAGATGGAATAAAATGTTTGGAGGGATAAACAAAGGAATAATTAGTATCAAGAGGATTGGCATAACCACCAGTGCATGCTGTTCCTCATATTCAGAACAGAATGCCAGAGCTTGTCACTGATAGTAATGGAAATGGAGGCTGAGTCTTTCAAGGAAGCTGACTCTGCAAAAGCTGACAGACTAGAAGACCCTATGAAAGAGAGAAACAGAAAAAGTAGTGCAGAGCAGGGATGAGATAGAGCCATGGAATCAAACATTAAATGTGGAGGAGAAATGGTAATGATTACATAGTGAAGTCAAGAGTGTAAAAGATAAGAAAAGTAATACTGGCAAATGAAATTAATACTCTGAGATTAGGATAATAGAGTTTCCAGGAGAGTGGATAGTACATGAGAGATGAGAAATCAGTAAAGGAAGAAGGGCCTCTAGAGCAACCTTGATTAATTTACTGCCAGAAAAGTTAAAAATTGCTAAAATGTCTTCTAAAGATGTACCCCTACAAAAAAAAAAAAATCAGTATAGATAAAGAACCTAGCAAACTAAGGACCACTTGAAATAATATATAGAAATACTCCTGACTCTTAGAGTGACATAATTGCTAGCCTGTAGATTCACTGAGAAAGAGGAATTGACTTCCTTTGAATGAAGACCTAGTTTGGAAGCAGGATGCTACAGTGAAGTCCTTTTCTTCTTGTGAGAGTGTACCTTTTATAACCAAATCAATTTGATTAAACTTCTGGGTTTTGGATACTGGTCAGTCTATTTCTGTCCCTCAGGGCTCTGAGGTGGTACTACAACTCTGGGCAGTCAGTTCCATCTCGATAGGGAGGCTGGACCGTGTTGCTTGGATACTTTTCCAAAGAGCCTACCTGGTGGTGGAGCTCTTGTTTCTAGTCTTCAGGGATGAAGAAGCAGGCAGGCAAGAAACTTGGGCTCAGCCAAGCCACAATCATTTTTACTCTGGAAAACACTAGACAGTTACAAAACAACATCCTGTACGTACCCTCCTCCCCCGCTTAGTGTGATCTCACCTCTCCTGGGAGTTCTGTTTTGGACAACATTTTTCCTGACTTTTCACCAGGCATGTGGTAGTGGTTTGGCCTTTTTACTCACACAATCAATGTTTTTTGTGACCTGTCATTCTTTTGCTCACATACTTCAACTGGGAGTTGTGTAGTTTGCATGTTCTCCACCCTCCACTGGCTTCTTTATACAATTTGTCAAAGCAGTGACCTTACTGGTAGAAAACCCTCTTTTCCAGTAAAAAAAGATTACCAGAGACCAACAGATCTTTACTGCTTTCTCCAGTAAGAAAGGACATGAGTAAAAGATATGTCAGAATGACATTTCCCAAAGGAAATGAGTCATTCATGGGATAATGTGGACGGACTCCAGTGCAGAAGTACACTTCTGCTCTGTATATTAAAAGAGGAGGAATATGGTAATTTTCGTGATTATCACACATTGCTAGAGCATAAGGTTCCCCCCCCAACCCAATAGTTTTACCTTTCCAGACAAATTCGTACTTACACATTGGCACCTCCATGATGCACTTACAGATGGTGCTAGTCAACTGCTAACCCACTTCACACTGTTTAGGTGCTTTACAAATCACTGGAGAGGCTGACGAACTCTCATGTTCTCCAAAGACCAGGCTTTTTCTTGTAGGGTCTGTATTGAAATTCTTTATTCTATTAACCTTTCTTATCTCAGTTTAACTTATTTTCTTTCAAAATGTTCGATTTGCAGCTAACTGAAAGCTTCTTAGATTTTCTTGGTCCAGATCATGGTGAAGATTAATTTGCATCACAGAGAGACACTGCTACTATTTTTGGCTTTGTCTGAGATCCTTGTTGACTCTTTAAGAAGAGAGGCCAAGGATTTAATTTATCAAAGGACTGAATTATTTTGTTACCTCTCCCATCCCAATGCTAAGTCTGGCACTGTTTTCAAGCAGCATAAAACTTGTATCAAAGAAAGGAGGAAAAAACCACTTAAAATATTCTTTCAGTTTTTGCTTGTAAACGCTGCCATGGGACTAATTTACTGCGATGAAGCATGCTGTTTTGTGGTAATATTTTAGAATTATACTGCAGAATTGGTAAATAGACAAACTTTCCTAAGTTGGGATGAATGCACTAAACCTTGAAATCTGAATGGACTGGTGCAGATGAAGGTAATGGAGAAGATGACAGGTGAACATGTTTCCCCCATATTGTTATTTTACTTGTTACATACTGCTGTGCTTTCATAGAGGAATGTTTGGTAAAATATGTGATTCCAGTGGGAAAAAAATAGCCCAAATATCGTTTTACCATCTTTTATTTTTTTGGCTTTATGGGGAGTGTTGTCTGCTAGAAGGGACACAGAAATTGTAGCCTACATGGGAAAGCCTACCTTTTTTTCTGCCTAGTTGGGAAAAAGCTCCAGTAAGGTTGATCATGTCTGGTAGAAAAAAAAAATAGATAAGTACTTATTTCATATTTGGAGAGCTATTCATAGTTTTGTGTTCTAATACTTGAGAATTTTTTTCTCCTCTCTTT